ATTATCGCTATCATTATCGTATTAATGTGAAAGAACCATTATTATGATTAATCATGATATTATGACAATAATGGAAATATCTTAATAGCTTCGTTCATCCTTTCACGCAGTTATCCGGCTCACCGTACATAATGGTTAGCCCGCCGTTGAATCTAACGTACTCATCACAAAGCCGCCCGACGTTCTCAGGATGTTTCCTGATGCTGACGAAAAATCGAACGCTTCCAACTAATTGGTAATTTCGACGTAGAATCGAATGCAATCATTCTTCCGTGCATTCGCTCGCCAGAGCACTACAAAATGGTTATCCCGACGTCAGCATAATCGGCCACCGTACAAAATGGTGAACCCGTCGTTCATTCATATCACTCCCTATTTGCTTCGCTCGCATTGTAATCCAAAGAGTTGGCTCAACAGCCTTCCCCAATTCGCTTCGTCCATTCGCTCGCATTGTAATTCGAAGAGTTGGCTCTTAGCCTTCTCCAATTCGCTTCGCTCATTCGCTCACATTGTAATCCAAAAAGTCGGCTCTTAGCCTTCTCCAATTCGCTTCTCCGCTTCGCTTTGTGGTGTGCCTCGAATAAACGTATTCATCAATACGAGTTCATCTTCTGATTTATAAACCGAGCTTAAGAACACGCAGTTATCGGCACACTACAAGAGACCTTGAATGATATAGCTAAAAATGGTATGCAGTGGCACAGGTGCATCCATTCTTTGTGTTCTCTCAAATTCTAATCTTCTGAATTTCTCAAATTTATTTCACTGGGATATACTTCTCGAATGATATCTTCGATCCGTAATCCTTTTGATTATCGCTAATGTTTCAACCTCTACTACTATGGGATTTAAATTGACAATTGCATCTGACTGTGCCAATGTGGCATGGCAACTTGAACTGATGCACATACCTACGTACGAAGTTCTACGTTGTAGCTCACTGAATAACTGACAACAACAGCATCAACAAATTACCAGGGTATATATGTCGTAAACAATGCTCTCTCTCTAGACTTTCACATGAACACATAGTCTTATAGTCCAGTATATATATGCATATACGAGATGTATCCGACTATCACGACAAAGCTCGATATACAATTTACGTGGTTGGCCATAGTCGGCATGAAACCTTATCAAATCTATGAAACATGATGTTGAGTTATTATGAATTACTAGCCTTCACAGAATTTGATTGTTCGATTACAACGATTAACCCTCTAAGAAATAGACAAACTATACATTTGTCAGTTAATCTGCAAAATTTTGGTACATCACCTATCATGTAGATACGCTGTAGACTGGTCCCGACCGAAGCTGCTACCTTGACGTGGTGGTCGGGCTTGCCTATCGTGATGACCCAACCGAGCTATATTGGCTGGAACTTATGTTCCTGAAGGTTCTACCATACCAGGCAAATCGATTGGAGAACGATGAGACTAAAAGCAGCTACTCAAGGTCTGAGGGCGAAGTAGTACTGTTGACTGCAGAGGGGTGTGACAGCAGTAAGGTGTTTCCCTCGGACAACCAGCATCTGTAGCGATGCTGCCTACTCACAAGGGAGGAAGGGTTAGAAATGGTCGACCTTAAAATGTCACACCTCATCCTACCTCACGGATTTCCGTCTCCGGCGGTAAGGGTGCCCACTAAGGGCCTTTAAGAGCGGAGTTAATACTCAAAAAACTTCTCATAAAAAGGCCGTGCGTGACCGACCTCAAGCAGTTGTTCGTTGGACTCTGCGGTCACGCTCCCAGGTCTCTAAGACCAACAGTAGTCTATCTTCCTTTTCAGGTCCCTCAAGAAACAACCTTCCACGGTGTGGGCAGCCGGGAGGTGATAACCGCCCTCATACCCGTAACAGCACGAGAGACAGGCATCATTAGCTAGGACTTTAGAATCTCGTGCCGTAAATGTATGCTGAGTCTCGGAAACGCGCATACAGGATCATAGTAAAATTAATAATCTGATTTCACCTTGTCAAAATAAAGAAACAGCTCGATTTACTCTTCGTTTATCTGGTAGCCCTGATGCTGCTTCCAGGGGTCTTGCTGGTGTGGGCATAGCATTAAGTCGTAGAGCTGAACAATCTCTCCTTGACTGAATCCCAGCAGATAGTCGTTTGTGCGCTGTCCGACTAAACGGGACAGTAAGGACTCGGAAGGATAGGGACACTCGCCGTTGCCTCTTCGTCGTATCTGCCTATGCCCCCACTGACTGCAGTTCAGACGAGGTGAAAGATGAGTTTTACAGAAAGCTTTCGGACCTCCTCCAAAAAGCTAGGCGCTCTGATATAGTATTAATGGCTGGTGACTTTAATGCTCAGGTAGGTAGACTAAGTGAACAGGAAAGACACCTAGGTGGATGTTATGGTGTCGCGGCTCACAGAACAGACAATGGCGACCGTCTGTTGCAACTGTGCTCAGAAAACCAACTATTTCTAGCAAACACTAATTTTAAGCATATGGAAAAACATCTTTTGACCTGGCGACCACATAAGTCGTCTCAAAGTTGGACACAACTAGATCATATCTCAATCAGCCACCTATGGAGGGGTTCGATATTGGACTGCCGCTCGTTCTGGGGCAAATGTTTAGATTCAGATCATGCCCTAGTGCGAGCTCGTGTTTATTTGAGGCTTACTGGACGTAGGAAAGACAACGTAAGGAAGCCTCTTAGGGCTTTACTTGATGATAATCAAGCTAAGAAAATATTTCAAGAGGAACTAGAAAAACAGTTAGGCGACCATGCAAGTGATTCCCATCCGGAGTCAGGTTGGAATGATATCAAGTTGAATGATATCAGGTTGCATCGGCACCTGAACTAGTGATAGGGAATGAAGTAGTCGAGCGTGTTGATCACTTCACTTATCTGGGGAGTCTCATCAGCGCTGATAGCCTGGTGACTGACGAAATCTCAGCACGGATAGAGAAAGTTCGATTGCCTTTTGCCAACCTGCGTCACTTATGGCGTAGGCGTGATATCCGTTCGCTAACCAAAGGACGGGAGTACTGTGCAGCAGTTCGCTCCGTTCTCCTATATGGATGTGAAACATGGCCGTTAAGAGTAGATGTTCGTAGGTTACTAGTATTCGATCATAGATGTCTTAGAAGCATTGCTCGTATATCGTGGGACAACCGAGTAAGCAATGCTGTCGTTAGGAAACGAGTACTAGGTAAGGATGGCAGATCAATAGATGAAGTGGTGAAACTTCATCAGTTGAGGTGGTTGGGACATGTGTTACGAATGCCTAACCACCGACTGCCTCGACGAGATATGTTTTGTGGTGTAGGAATAGGTTGGAAGAAAGCTAGGGGCGGCCAGACCAAAACATGGCAGAAATCAATAAAGTCACTGAAAAGTGGTCTGATTCATGTTGGTAGATGTAGACTACCTGGTTGGGGTCCGCGAGACGATAGTTACCGATGGTTAGAGACCTTGAACGATATGGCTCAAAATCGTTGAGCTCTCTCAAATCCTAATCCTCTGGATTCCTAAGCACCTCTACCTTTGTCTTTCTAATCTTATCTCACTGAATTATACTTCTTGAATAATATCTTCGAACCCTAGTCTGCTTCATTACCATTAATGCCTCTACTATCTTTATCACTATGGGACATTTGTGTCTCTGTGCTAATGTGGTATGGCAACATGAACTTATGTACATACGTACGAAGTTCTACGTTGCAACTGACTGACTGCTGTAGACTGGACTGTGAAGATGGATACTGTTTGTTCGAATAAGAACAGGCAAGTTGCCGATAGATAAGCATATCATAATAAACATGTCCTAACCACGTTAGTCAATCAATATTTACAATTGCATAAGCTGATCAGATCAAATTGTTTAGTACCCATCCCCCCTTATTGATCATTCTACAATATGCGATCAATTTAACCAATAAGGAATCTTACAATCTACAAGACTAGAGAAGTACGATGTGTTATAAAAGTCGAAAATATGCTTTTTGTACACGTTAAATAAAATTTTACTGTTGTTAGTTAAAACTAAAATTAGTCAATCAGCCAATCATAAGCAACGTTGAATTTAACATATATATATGTGCATTAGGTCAAGTTGTTACACCGCATATCGAAGCACAGCAGAGAGAGAGACAGATGCCAATTAGGTAACAGTATTCAGACCGGACACATAATATGATCCCAGAAAAAAAAACAATTGAGTTCATGGGGTAAAATACACTTTCTGATCATGCTAAAAAAAACTCAAGACATAAGATAAAAATAAAAAGTACATGTATTTGTGCTATTGTGAATTGCGATGTTATCCAAGACCTAATTAGATAATCTACTCTAACCAACACGGTTCAGTACGATAGTTAATGATTTCATGAACTAATATATGAGCAGTCCTTGAATTTTTTTTTAAAACCTACTCTCACTCGATCAAGTTTCATAAATTCATTGATCGATTTGCTATCTTGAACACGGCACAAATCCATGAAGTCACTAACAAGTGAACTGAGTCATGTTAGTAAGTGCGTTAGGGTTCGCGAGATAATACTAATCGATGATTAAAGACCTTGAATGACGTGGTTCAAAACCGTTTGCAATGGCGCAGGTACATCCATCCTATATGTTTTCCCAAATTCTAACCTCGGATTTCCTCATCAACTTTATCTTTTGCGTTTTAAATTTACTTCACTAGATTATACTTCTTGAATAGTAAGTATCGTCGAACCCTAATCTCTCCGATTACTGATAATACTTCTACTACCTCTACTACTGTGGAGTTTGAATTGACCATTCGATCCCTCTGTGCGCTAAGGTAGTATGTCAACTTGAACTGATGTACGCACATACGAAATTCTACGTTGTAACTGACTGACTGACTGACATCTTTACCTTGCATTCCACACTTCACAATCCCCATTATGATGAATTCAAGGCAAGAATCAAGGTGATGAAGGGGAAAAAAATAATCCCTTTAGAAAAAAAAATATATATATATACATATATACATTAAATAGAGATTAACTTACGAACACAACCACGATTAGTTGGTTTACGTTTTTTAACACTAACCGAAGTGATATGAGCTTGAGTAGAAAATGCACTACCATTCAAATTATTCGCTGATTCAAAAGGAGTAGTATGACTACCATTACCAACTAATGAAGATGGTGTAGCAGTAGCAGTAGTAGAAGTAGTAGTACAATTATTGTTTGTAGTCGTATCAGTATTCAGTGCAGCTGCAACGACTGCAGTTGCAAAATTTTCTGCAACTGAACTTAAACCACCGCCAACACCACCACCCCCACCACCACTTCCTACACCACTAATCGATACTGATGACGAGGAGGAGGAAGAAGAACAAGCTGATGTACTTTTTCGTTTCCAATAATAATAGAAAGCTATTAATTCTTTCACAGTTTTGACTGGTTCATTTAAAGTAGAAGGATCTGTGGATAGATTGGTTTCATTATTACAAGCTGATCCTTTCAATGTGGTGGATCCTATAACAAACAAACAAAAATCACAAGGTGCAATATTTGTTTATCACCACTACTCTCACTCTCTTGTAATGAATTCATTTCAAGGACAAATGAATAAAGCGAAGAGATTTCTTAATAATTAATGGATTGTGTACATGG